GTTTATACTTCACACTCGCATAGGTAATTCATAAACATGTAATTCTATAGATACACTATTTGATAATCTCATATTAAATTTAAAAGTTATTAAAAAGCTGTAATGCTTTATCCTTGTTACTAAATATTATCTTTATTACGAGAATGAGCCAAATTCTTTTTGACAATGTTGAACCGTCAATCATAACTTTGTTTGATCTCCTTGAATCTAGATCTTGGGATCTCTAGTCTTCTAAGTAGAGTTACCGCCATGATGACTTGTCCTTGGCCATAGTTCCATTTTCTTTGATGATCTCTCAACCACCTCTCTACTTAGGCCTTTTGCAAGTGGATCTAATAGTCAGTTGTGATAATTCCACTATAGAGTAATTGTCTAATTCTATCATGTCTTTATAGTATGTGACTAGCTTTCCGTTATACATAACGCTCCCACCCCTTTCTATAGCCGCTTGACTATCGCAATGTATGCATATAGGGGCCAATGATTTGGCCAAAATGGAATGTCTATGAAGAATTTCTGGAGCCATTCAGCTTCTTTACTAGCTTTTTCTAAAGCTATAAACTTAGACTACATTGTAGAGTGGGCAGTGCATGTCTGCTTGGACGATTTCCTAGACACCGCTCCTCCACCAATTGTAAAAACCTATCCACTTGTGGATTTAGTTTTAATTAATCTGGTGATCCAATTTGCATTACTATACTCCTCAATAATCGCTAGATACTTATTGTAGTGCAAAGTATAATCCTGAGCATATTTCAAATACCTCAAAACTCGTTACATTATCATCCAATGAGTTTGGTCGATATTACTAATTTATCGACTTAATTTACTCATCATAAAAGTCATATCAGGCTGTGTACAATTATGCACATTAAACTTCTCATCACTCGCATAATCCAACTAAGATTTTTTCGAAGTTACTAGGGTTCTGTGACCCCTCCCTTCTACGTAGGTCCGCCTAGTTGCTAAAAGCTTAAAGTATTAACTGTCCACCCCGCAATTTCTTTTGCAACAACTTAAACATTTGAAAAGAAAAGAAGAATAAATAATAACATGTTTTAAGTGTGATAAAGAGTCTCGTGATCTATTATACACATGCACCAGTAGGGAATACTAAAATGAGAGAGTTTTAAAACTTCGGTACTTGGATCTATGGGTGTTTAACGGGCCGGGTTGACCCGGACCGATGGTAGGGTGCCGGGTAGCGCTGGGTTAGGAGGTTGGGACGTTTACATTTTTATTACCGGTTAACCAGAACGGTCAAACTCGATCAAGAAAAATCACGGTTGAGCCGGTTAACCGGACAGGCCCGGACCGGTTCAACGGCTATTATCTGATTTTATTTTATTTTTTAAAATTCATTTGACCGTTGGTAACGGCCAGCTTCCAATTTGACCATTGCCCAACGGATATTTTGCAAGAATAACCCTTTTGGAGCAATTATTTTAAAAAATAACACTTTTAGTAATTACTAATTTAGCCCTTTGAAAAACTATAAATACACCCCCCTCTTCTTCATTTCTTCACTCATCTCTCATTTCTCAAACTCAAATTCTCAATTCAAATTAAATCATGCCCCGTACTTCTAGATTGCGCTCATATGTTTGGGAACACTTTGAGGTGGTAGAAGAAAATGAGGAAGTTCACAAAATAAAGTGCAAGAACTATGGTCGAGTCTTAAATCTTCGTCGAAAGTGGGAGGGCACAGGCTGTTTAAGGAGGCATATGAAGAGCTGTCTTGAGCGTCCTCCAGAAATTCGTATTTAAGTTGATTTGAGATCATTTGTGTTATTTTAAAATTATTAGACGTATTTATGCTTAATGTTTTAGTTTCTTCGATTAATTTGAAGTATTATTATGCAATGAAAATTTGAAATGAAACTATGAAAACCTTTGAATTTAACACTCTAGAAGATGGCCAAGAAGTTCATATTGATTATGAAAGGCAATGCAAAACTTTTGAAGTTCTGGATTTATAATTTTATATTTAATAATTAAACTTTGAATTTAATCTTTTTCGTTAATTTAGTTGTTGTTAAATGTAAACTTTACTTTGCAAGTTTGAAATAAAAAAAGAACTTACAAATTATAAGTGCAATTTCTTTCCATCTTCATTGTATTCTATTATCTTAAATTCTTAATGAAATATTCAAATATAATGTTTTTAAAGTTTTTGCATCCTTTATTCAAACACTCTTTTTATAAGATTATTTTTTTATTTTATATTTTTACTTTATATTAATATAAATTACGATAGTTATACAAAATACAAAAAATAATAATAAATCCGGCCCGGTCCCTTAGGGCCGTAACCATTATGGTTCAATATTTCACTGGATGGGCCCGGACCCGTTAAACCCGGTTTGAAAAATCCGGTAACCGGCCTGGATTGGTGATCGGCCGGTCACTTTTTTAGTCAACCCGACCCGGCCCACCCCTTTGACACCTTTACTTGGGTCTCAGCCTATGCAACTCAGACAGAATGAGCATAGTCATGATTTTGAAAATTTGATAGAATCCCAATTGTGTGTGCTTGCTTAACAACCAACAATTTGTGGCCTTAGAGTATCAATACCTTGTCTGATTATTTTTTTAATCTTTTTTATTTTTTTATTTTTTCTTTTTTCTTTTTAAAATAATAATTTTGAGGAACATATTATTGTCAGGGATACAATGGATTAAGATTGAGCTACTTTCTCGATACACCTATGGTTTCTAGGAAGTGAAAAGAAAGAGTAGAGAAAGATAGAATATTACAACTTTATGATGCAAACAATGAGTTTTATAACAAAACTTTGGACGGTGTTGGTCTTTAAAGAATGTCTCTGATTGACTTTATTACCAAAACAGCCCTCGCGTATTTATTAGGTGAGCCAAATGACATATATGTCCTCCGGATGTAAACTTATGTTATTGCGCCTTTCATGTAAATAAGTTGATTATGTGGTTTAAGTTATGCCTATATGGTAGGATTCACAACCAATTTAAATATATTAGTAGAATACATATACTTTAATGTCTACTGTAATATCATAGTTATGCGCATTTGAACAAAACAAGAAGTTTGAGCTAAGCTTTGGCAATCTGGTAGAATCTCTACCAAATGAACTACAGTAATATGATCAATATAGTTTAAAGTTCTATTTTTTTTGACATAACTTTTTATAACTTTAAATAAGGTACCATTGGTGAAATATATCCGGTAGCGCTAAGCTCCGCCAATCTGGTAGTCTCTCTACCAAATGAACTATAGTGATATGATCAATATATTTAAAAGTTCTACATTTTTGTGAAAAAGGATGAAATTCTACCGTTTTGTCATAACTTGTTTGCTATCCTTCTGACATGTCTTTTTACTCTTTCGTCCGTAGTTTTTAAATTATGATGATTTGGTAGAGTTTGTGTGTTGTGCAACAGGATAGCTAGGTTGAATATAACATATAGTCCTACCAATTTGTTAGATCTTGTGCATGACGTAGTTTATCGATTTTGGTTGCTCTTGCTGCACCTCTACCGCTCAACCTTATTTTGGTCTGGCGTTTCATTAAACGCATGTTTATACATATTTGGTCATTCCAACAATATTATCAAAGGATCTTTATACAAATAGCCGGTCATATTCATTGTTTACTTTTTCTTATCATATACATAAATTATACATTAATTATACTCAATTATACATATACAATACATAAATTATACATATATATTATACTTTCACGGTCTATTTTTAGTTTAAGTGGTTAGATGAACGACTATTTGGATTAATTCTTCTATTATCAGTTACGGGGACAAAATTTCAAGACAAGTCCCAAAAAGTCCCTTATTGTCAATCTCCCGTTTTAGGTGAAAACAACACGGGCTAGCCAGTTTTCGAACTGGTAATTGAAAAATAGCCAGTGTTTGCAATGTCATTGAAAAATAGCCATTATTTTGCTGCAACACGGAAAGTTTTTGCATAATATACTGGAGATTTGTGTACATGTGTATGAACTTCCAGCATATTATGTTGGAACTCCAACACACGGAAAGTTCCAGCATAATATACTGAAGATTGGAGCACATGTGTATAAATTTTAGCATATTATGCTGGACCAGTATATTATATTGAACGTCCAGTAGATTATGCTGGAAGTCTAGTATATTATGCTGGAATATTTTTCGAATTTTGTACAGTATTTTCATTCAGATTTATCTTTACATAAAAAGTGGCTAAATTTCGATTACTTTTGAAACTGCGGCTATTTTTCAATTACCATCTATAAATCAGACTATTTTTGAATTTCACCCATTTTTTAGTGAGCTCCCTCAATCCTTCTTGAAACTGTTTCATGATATCTTACATGTTTTTGCTCTTCATTTTTCTACTTTTTTTTAAACGAATCAAGAAAAATTGGAGCAATATAACCTTAAAGTAAACCTTGCACGTCCTCGTTTTAGGAAATCCAAATTTCCAAAATACATTTCACTTATACAAACTTCGGTTCAATGTGATTTCAAAGTAACTTCAGAACCAAAAAATTAACAAAAAATAACTCCTTTCTTCGTTTCTATATTTTACAAAAAACATTTATGGGGAAGTGAAAGATTTCCAGGAAGTTTCAATAATATATGCTATCGGAAAACTTTTCATTTGATCATATCAAATCAAAACATTTGTTTTTTATTAGGCTTGTCATTTTGTAAATTAAAAAACAAATAAATGAATGAATCAGTAACCTAGGTCTCCAGGCAACAATCCTACCTAAAGCACTACCAAATAATTTTTTTTAATGACAACAATGTTTAACGAAAATGATTTTTTTATTATAATAATTATAAGACCTCACATCAAACAATTAATTATTTGATATATTACGTGCATGATTCAAGGGATATCATTTGACAACAAATTAAAATATAAATACATGATGGACCAGACAGATAAGAGACAACGTCCAATTCATAAATTATTATTGACTGATAACAACTCTTTCATTAATAAAAGTTATGAAACTGTGTTCATTGCTGAAATGTTGACCATGCATGTTCATGGAAAATGAAATCTATTCAGAGGCTACAAAAGTACAGCTTGCACAACCCAACACACAACCTTCCACAGCATGACCTACCGGTCAACGAAATGCGTCAAAACAATGGAGATAGAGTTCAAAATGCGTAAATGGCTTCTCTCTATCTGCCTAAGTTTTGGTGGTAAAGATACACGATGCCTATGATACTCCGGAGATCGCAAGTACCTGGTGAAATAGTCGAGGTGTACACATGTTAACCCCAACACCACCGCTAAATTAGAAAAAAGAGACAAACTTCCAAAGTTCCATTTCAAGTTAGGGTTGACTTAATGGTTAGTGATCTTTTTAAGATCACATGTACCTGGTGAAATAGTCGAGGTGTGTGCAGGCTGACCCAAACATAACCGTTAAACAAGAAAATAGAGACACAAACTTCTACAGTTCCATTTTAATTTAGGGTTGACTTAATGGTCAATGTAAACCTTACAGATCACATGTATCTGATGAAATAGTCGAGGCGTGTGCACGCTAATCCCGACACCACCGGTAAACAAGAAAAAAGAGAAACTTCCAAACTTCCATTTTAAATTAGGGTTGACTTAATAGTCAATGTAATCCTTAAAGATCACATGTACCTGATGAAATAGTCGAGGTGTGTGCAGACTGACCCCGACACTACTGCTAAACAACAAAATAGAGACACAAACTTCCAAAGTTCCATTTTAAGTTAGGGTTGACTTAATGTCAGTGTAATCCTTAGCATAAATCTCCAGATAAAAACCTCATCCTCAACCTCTTAGACCTAAGCTTTACAAGATTATTTGAAGTTTTTAGTTAAGACAGGGCCACCGACTAGAAAAAAAAGGCCAGAGCAAGTTGAGAGCACAAGCCAAGTAGACATTTTGGGCAGAGTTAAGGAAGATTAGTCACCTCCAAACAAATATTAACTGTGAACAAATGCAATAAGCAGTAACAATTAACTTGAACAGAATCAAAAACTTTCAAAAGTAACCTGGATTTCTCAATCAGGATTTTCTTATACAAAAATTGCAATTGGAGGGTTACATACCAATGTTACAATTTCGGAGGAGGCAGAGCGGGAGTGCTCATCTTGATTCTCAGATTGAGCAAAAACTGGGCATTCTACATCGTGTCAAGCTGAAGGTGCCTGGTAGTTAGTTCTGTACAAAAACCGATGACTGATTGGGAATGAAATAGACGAATTAGAACTTTACAGTTCTGAATATGATTCATATGGTGATTCGTCTTCAGGTGGCCTCTGTTGGTTATGAGCAAAAGGAGGTGGTGGAGGATCGACAGACAGAGTGCCCTCCAGTACCTTGACTACCTCTCCCATTGATGGCCTCATACGTTCATCACCTTGTAAGCACCAAAATGCAATTCTAAATGCTCGTTCTAACTCTTCCAAGACGACGCCACCCTCAATTCGCTGATCAGTGGCCATTTCCCTTTCAGCTTTTACCCATTTTTCATATGCCCAATAACAAGCCTCATCCACATCTTGGCGTCCGGTGATTAATACAACCATCATCTTGCCAAAATCTTTTACATCTGTCTCTGCTTGTCCCCCACTACTTGACGCCTCAGCTTGAATCGTCCTCAGCCCAAATTCACTAACTTTAGCCTCTAATTCATCATCTAAGAACACGTTTTCACATTTCAAATTTCCATGACTAACAAACTCCCTACATCCTGTATGCAAGTACGATATGGCCCTCGCCACTGACAAAGATATATCTATTCTTTTCCGCCATGTCAATCTCTTGCACATTCTAGGTTCTTCTAAACATTTGTCAACCGAACCATATTTGGAAAGCTCATAAACCAATAACCTGTGGCCTGACTCACAGCAATAACCGTCCAGCCTCAAAAGATTTTTGTGATATATACTTCCTATTTTTAGGACTGCACTCCGAAATCTCCTTTCTTCTATAGAGGCATTAAGATCTTTAACCGCAACAAGCCTGTTATCTGGAAGTACACCTTCGAACACATTCTGTCCAATTTGTTGCTTAAAATTGTCTGTCAGATCTTTGATTTCGGAGTAAGAAAACACGATGCAACCGGTAGCATTAGGCACTGTATGGGCCGGAGCAGATTTCTGCATCATACTTTTCCTTCTCCTGAACAGGTAAACTCCAATCCCGAATTGAAGCATGAAAAACACAACAACTGATCCAGCAGCGACTTCTAATAGACAAGCAACACAGATCTTATGTGATACCTTTCTCGGAGCAGGTATAGGCGCAGGTAAAACAGCAATTGGATCTGAACAAGTCTTGACAAAAGTAATGGAACCCAAAGAGGGGTCTGATTGACCGCCAATGTATTGGGACTTCATCATGTGGCATTGTGCAGTCCCATTGTTGATGAAGGATGCGGCATGGCAGGACGGGTCTTTCTGACACAGACTTCTACACTGCTGCAAACTGGTTTGCACAACTGTTTTGTTTGGTGGGTATATCCCGTACAAGTACATATGATCATATCGGATCATGGATGAACCAGACTCACAACTTGGTTTGTATGGAATCAGACATTTGGTGTTTGAGTCTCTAGTAGATCTAAATGGACACTGACAAACATAAGAGTCCGATGCATTAAAGATGCATATACCTTGGTTAGCACAGGTCGCAAAGACATCACACTGATTGATTACAGCTTGCCAAACTGTTCTCCATGACGTGGCATTAGTTTCCCATGAGTACATCCGAAGATTACCATCAGAATCTAGTCTCATGAACCGAAACTTCACATCAGGATCACTGTGGTCTTCACCATAGACAGACGAAACAACTTTCGATCTTTGATCAAGTAGTCGGAGGATTCCGTCAGAGCCAAGAATGGACCGGACAGCAGGTTGAGAAGGACCCCCAACAGTCCAGTAAATGACAGTGGAGTCCCACCTAAGTTGCATCTCACCAGAAACATTCATAACAAGACTGTAATAACTTGCTAAAGAATCCCTGCTAGAAGCTCGAAGAGTATGGCCAACAGATAAACTCTGGCCAGGAAGCAATGTGTCAGATGGACTTTCAAAACTCTGCCAAACAGCAATCTTATTCCTATTTAACAGAACGAAGTTGCCATTATCAAGCAGAACAGCTGATCCAACAGATGCATTGCCAGTTTTGCTTTGCCAAACAATTTTTTCCGTTGCTGGATCAAACAGTATCATTTCCCCACCACTGGAAAGCTCAAAATATGCTTTGCTACTAACTTTAACATTCCCTACAGTCCAAATGGCTGTTTGTTCACTGCTAGGAATACAAATCGAATTGAAACGGACACCAAAGATATACTGGTCCGAGGAGTTCAAGAATCCTACTGCATAGTTCCCATTGGATGAGACCCAATAATTGTTCTCTTCTACGGTTAGTTTGGAACCCAACGGAATTTGTGAACTGACTACTGAAAAGAGCAAGAACCCAATAGAGACAGAAAGCAGCAAATTCGAATAAGAGGCTATTCTATCTCCTCTATCCATGTCTATTTCTGCTTGCAGAAGCAGATGAAAAGACAGAAAACTGGTTCCAGCTTCTGCATATCAACAAAAAACTTGTTCACTCATTCCGCTGGATTACAACAAGCAAGAAACTTGATATTGTGTTATTAACTGATATAAGTAATCTACCAACTGTAAAGGCTTACAAAATCAAGAATGACAACGACCATAAGAAACCAAAACCAGGTAAAAACTATTCCTTTGAAAAGGAATTGCATTACATCTATCAAATCTAAGGTCAAACTCTCAAACTGCCAATAGCTTCCAGGTTTGCAGCAAGATCAGACAAACAAAAAAGTGGGAAAATGATGAGAACGTATGCAGGTATGATTAAAGGATAAAGGTAAAATATACAGTTTGGTACCTCAAAAAAGACATTCAAAGCACCATAAGTGAGAAGGAGCTGGCAATGAATACTGCCTGCAGACACATTCATGAAACATCAAATGCTCCTCTATTGCCCTATAAGAAACTTGCCTTGTGAGAAAACATAAAAAAAAAAAAAAAAAAAAAAAAAAAAAAAAACAATCCACAGCTTAAGATTGAATTTAAGAGCTTATGACCTACAAAATATCAAACTGGACCATAAAATAACAGTAAACAAAGAAAACTAGGAACATGAAGAAATATATTAATGGCTTAAAAAAATAGGTTTGGATTGAAATCCTGGTTCAAATGGGACCCAATTTAGGTCAATATAATGACCCTTTTAAGCATATTCAATCACTATTCTAAGGCTTTAAAGTGACACTAGAAAATGTTTTGCCAGCATCCAAAGTTGAAGACCTAATCACTACTATAATATCCCAAAAACTGAATAAATTAAAATGAAAAAGTCAATGATAACACATATACTTTGACAAATATACACTACAAAGTAACCTTGTGTCCACATACACATATAATATATATTACATCTCAAATTCTTTAAGCAAAAAAAAAAAGGAACAATTAGATAAGAGAAAACATATCTAGGTGCACATGCAAGAGAGATTTTCTCCAAAAATTGGATCTTTGGGACAAATGTAGTACAAATTTGAACAACAAAAACACTATCGACCAAACAAAATTCCAAAAGTTGAAAGCTAAAACGAGCATATAAATGGAGATCCTCAAAAGGGTATTCACTAAACTTCAAGAAAATGAAAACCCAAGTGGTGAAAAAGCTGAAAATGCAGTAAACATCAACATTCCTCAAAGAAAAAGCAGAAAGTTGATAATCTTGGAGAATTTTGAGTGGTCAGTGAAACAGATGTGACTCACCAGTAAAGAGAGAAAACTCTGTGCCTCACATTGTGGATTTTTTCTTTACTCTTATCTTAACCTGATAAAGCAGAAAAGGGGCTGCCGGAAAATCAAGAAAGAAAAAGTTTCCGGTGAGAAAAAAGGGAATGGTCTGAAAAGGTTTGAGACACTTTGCAAAATGTCTCTCAATCTTTTTGGAGAATTTTTTTCTTGAAAAGAAGGATTAGATAATTTTTTGTTACCAATGCAAGTTTTTTGTTGTCTTCTTCATCTGGTGTAACATTTTTTTTTTTTTCTTGGAGTTTTGCAAATTTTGGGTTTTGTGTAGCTGTTGGAATTTTGAAATTTTTCCAGCTAAGTTTTTAAGAGGTGCTAAAAGAGTCTCAGCAAAAAAGAAAGAAAAAAGTTAGAGCGTCACAACTCATTTGCTGGGGTTTGGTAATTGTTTTTTTTTTTTGGGGGGGGGAGGGGGGGGGGGGGAGAGGGGTTGGTGTCTGGAGTTGAATTTTTGACTGTTGACTTTTGTCGTCTGTTTTTGTTCAGACTGTCGGAGTAATCTTTTTTATATCACAAATGCCAAATGGCTGATATCCTCATTTTGTAGTAATACATAAATTCATTTTTTAATGAAGTATAATATAATGATTGTCAATTAACTTGTGATATTAAAGTCAAGAGTTAGATTTACTAATCAATTAGTGTGTATTAAAGATTAAAAATACTTAACATGAATATTCTTACTATACATATAAAAATCACGAATTTTATTTTTGTTTCTATTTATTAAAATTTACCTAAAAATATTTTTCGCTGTTGCTAATACACAAAAGATTTAGCCGTTCATGAGCAGTATTTAATAGAAGAATTAACCTAAATAGTCGCTCACTCAATCACTTAAATTAAAAATAGTCGATGGAAGTATAATATATGCATAATTAATATATTATATATGTATAATTATATATAATCAATGTATAATCTATGTATATGGCTAAAAAAAGTAAATAATGAATATGACCGGCTATTTGTGTAAAGATCCCTATTTAATATTTGGGGATTTGCAGTCGTACCCTATATTTGTGTCACTTTTTAACATGTATCCTATTTTTAAAATTATTGATTTGGTAGCCATTTCACGAAAAAATCGTAATAATATGACAATTACACCCCTGACAAAATATATAAAATGATCTCCTCCTCTCCTCTCAGCAACTTTATAAAAAAAATAGAAACTTGTCCAAATTCATCTTCAGAATCACACTTGCATGAAATTGTTTCACCTTGAAGCCAAAACTTCATGCTAATGTAGCATAAAGTTATTTCATGTTGAAGATAAACTTCATGCTAATATAGCATGAAGTTGTTTCACATTGAAGCTAAAACTTCATGCTAATGTATGCTGAAGTTATTTATCATGCAGTCTACAATTTTATCATGAATTTTATCCGAAACTTCAGTCTAAATATGCTGAAGTTATTTAGTTCATTTGCTAAAACTTCAGATTAAACATGCTTAAGTTATTTAGTTTATTTGCTAAAATTTCAGACTAAACATGCTTAAATTTTTTACTTCATTTGCTAAAACTTCATACTAAACATGCTTAAGTTTTTGTCTTGTAGTATTTAATTTTCTGATGAGTTTTTTCTAATGCATGCTGAAGTTATTTAGTTCATTTGCTAAAACTTCAGATTAAACATGCTTAAGTTATTTAGTTTATTTGCTAAAATTTCAGACTAAACATGCTTAAATTTTTTACTTCATTTGCTAAAACTTCATACTAAACATGCTTAAGTTTTTGTCTTGTAGTATTTAATTTTCTGATGAGTTTTTTCTAATGCATGCTGAAGTTATTTAGTTCATTTGCTAAAACTTCATACTAAACATGCTTAAGTTTTTGTCTTGTAGTATTTAATTTTCTGATGAGTTTTTTCTAATGCATGCTGAAGTTATTTAGTTCATTTGCTAAAATTTCAGACAAAACATGCTGAAGTTATTTAATTCATTTGCTAAAACTTCAGACTAAACATGCTGAAGTTCTTTAGTTCATTTGTTAAAACTTCAAACTAAACATGCTTAACTTTTTATCTTGCAGTATGTAATTTTCTAAAGAATTTTTGCTAATGTATGCTGAAGTTATTTAGTTCATTTGCTAAAACTTCATACCAAAACATGCTGAAGTTTTGTAACGCAGTCTACAGTTTTGTCCTGAGTTTTATCCGAAACTTCAGTCTAAACAAGCTGAACTTTTTTAGTTTATTTGCTAAAACTTCAGCCTAAACATGCTTAAGTTTTTGTCCTGCAGTTTGTCAATAGTCTTTTATTAAAAAAGGGCAAAATCATCTTTTTAAAATGCTTTTAACAAAAAAATAGGTACGGATGCAAAAGGAAAAACAAAACGGATTTAAGTTAAAAAGGGGCGACCAAATAGGGCGCCCCGTGCAATTTTTACTTAATATTTATGCGGAAGAGCTAATACAACAACAACAACGACCCAGTATAATCATACTAGTGGGGTCTGGGGAGGGTAGTGTGTATGCAGACCTTACCCCTATCCTGGGGTAGAGAGGCTGTTTCCGATAGCTATCTTAGACAAAAACCCTACACGGCTAGTCCCACAATAGTACGAAGTAAGGCACGACTTAACTATCTCCTAACCTATAGCCCTAATACTCGACCCCCACATCTTCCTATCAAGTGTTATGTCCTCGAAAATCTGGAGCCTCATCATATCCTGCCTGATCACCTCTCCCCAATACTTCTTAGGCCACCATCTACCTCTTCTTGTGCCCTCCACAACCAGTCTCTCACACCTCCGTACCGGAGCATCTGGGCTTCTCCTCTGAATATGTCCGAACCATCTAAGCCTCGCTTCCCGTATCTTGTCATTAATGGGAGCCACGTGCACCTTCTCCCGAATATTATCATTCCTAATCTTATCTATCATAGTGTGTCCGCACATCCACCGCAACATCCTCATTTATACTAAAGCAACAAAGAACAAAAATAAATAATTAAGAAAACTTAAAGTAAATACAAGCATGATTGTGAAGTGAGATTCTCCGGAAGCAAGAACAAGAACATAGTAAAGAGCAGAAAGAATGTTAATAAAACAAGAGTAAGTTTAGCCTTTTTTTGCATACAGGTCGTGTCTATAATGAGTACAAATTCTTCTATTTATAGCTCAATTCAGGGAGATAAGATCTCCAACTCAAGCTCTTCTTTAGTGTGAATAAAGACTCCTCGATAATTGTACAATAGTTGAGTATAAATGCAAAGATTCTTTGTAACGGCCGCTCCTTGAATGTTGTTTTCTTCAACCGTTACCTTACTTTCAAAATTTCGTTTCCGGTTTCAATGTCTTCAGAACTCACACAACACCGATCACGTACTTGGGATTGGTGCCAGGTATTTGCTGACTCATACCCTATCTGTCTTTACTGCCACATGTCAACTCGACGAATTTTCACATATCATTCATCAATTTTACCCCATGCAGATAGTCTCCTACTTTCCGGTGACTAAACTTTATGTTACCGGAAAGTAGATAGGACTCCTTTTATTGGCAAGAAGGTTCCTGAACGATTTCTGACACTTGAAAGGACGCAGGTCTCCTTGCATTTAATGCGAACGCATGTTATCCAGTTATTCGGCAAATATTTTCGCCAGTTACCTAGGTAATGATGGTCTTGCATTCTGCCGCCTATAAACTTCTCCCCTTCTTATCACTATTACCTTTTACCTTTACAAACCTTTTTTCTTCAAATTTCCTCAAAGCTTTTCTGCAACTCCCTTTTCTCAGTAAAACTTTCATATTCGCACTTTCCATCATCATGTCTTCTACTATCTCTCCTCCTGATTACACAGATATTTACATTGGTGGCGGCCCATCCAAGAAGAATAAGTCTAAGGAACCTGATGCTAGTCCTCTTTTTTATTATCACAATCATCCCTTCTCAACTAAATTGTGAGACGGATCTCCAAATTCAACAGGAACCCTCTAACCCTAAAAATGATAAAAACAGAGTTGTTAGTAGATATCCTTCTTCCATTCGTTCTGCTAGTATTTTCATTGTGAAAGAAGATTGTGGCTGGAACAACATTGAGGTTTAATCCCCTAATAAAGTGGAAATAATTACTTTCAGTAAGCCAGGATACATGTGTGTTTACATGTATCCTTTTCTCTTTAATGTTTGGCCAAGAAATTGACCCCATCATCTTGAAGTTTTGCCGGAACTACCAACTGTGTTTAGCCTAAATAGGACCATCGATATGGCGACCAATAGCCTAGCTTCGGTTCCTGTGTTCCCAGTCCAGTGAAACCTTTACACTTGATCAACCTCTACGCTCCTAAAATTTTCTGTAGAGACATGATCAAACTCAGCAAACGTGATTATCATGCCATCGTCACCAGTGTTGATGATGACAATGACCGTAAGCTTTCTTAATATCCTTCTTCATCGTGTCAAAGTAATTTCTACTTCTTACTAGATCTTCTCTTCTCTTTTTTCAGCCACTCGTTGGGTTTCTCCAACAGTTGCAAACCTAACCCAATGGGTTAAAAACAATTGGACACCATAAGTGGAAGAAAATTTCACACAGATTCAACAGGAAGTCCAAGAACCATGGTAAGTAAACTTCGCCTTTTCCTTTTTAATCTTCAACTTTATGCAGTATAAATTTTTTTTGACTTCTTTTCATAACATGTAGGCCTTCCGAATGGGTCTTCTGTCTGTCCCACCGTCAAGGTTTCTCATGACCCGAAGGTGGCTCAACAATAAATTCAAGAAGCCCTTGACCGGAATAGGGCTCATGATGCCGCTCTTGTTTCTGATGAATGCCCATATCCCCTGAGTCCCCATCCTAAGGGGAAAAACCTAAAAAGAAGACGTACCTCCAAGGCTAATATTCAAGAGAAGCCTCCAATAGAAGAAACCCCAGTAGGACCGGCCACAGTGGTCCTTGACAAAGAGGAAATCGAGGACGATGATGAAGCGGTTTCTCTTCAAAGAAGAAGAAAAAGAAGAACTTCCCCAGCTCAACCAGATGACATTCAAGGACTCGTTTGGTCAGAAGGGGCTCTACTTCTAATATTCCTCCCACTTCAACACCAGCAGCCATACCACCAGCTCATGTCTCGCCACTAGCCCTAATTGAACAAGTGAAAAATGCACATTCCCCTCGGTCACCCGATTATGGGAACATTAAAAATGCTTTCCCAGCACCCATATGAAACCCCAATGGTAAGCGTAGTGTTACCTTTTCAATTTCGAATGAGTGCCCCTTTCTTTCTAAACCGGTGGGAGTTTCCAACTACTTGAAGCCTTTGGCTTAAAACAAGGATTGGAGAAAGATGGATGCCCTCTT